TCAAAAATACAAGAGTATATGCTGTATGATTCTATTTATAAAAATTCAGAAATAGAAAAAAGAAACTATTGTGCCATAAGCTACAGTTTTGACACCTTGGAGAAGTAGTGATACAGGAAAATAAAAATTCCCAACCTGAATATCTGGACTAGTTCGTGTTCTGTAAAATTGAAGAGTGAATTTTAGGAACAATAGAGGTTAAGAGCAGAATATATTTATTGAGGGAGAGAAAGCTTCTGTCCAAGAGAGAGACAGCAAGGGGCCCGAGTTGGTTGCCAAGGTCCTTGCCCTTCCCAGGGACTTTATAGAGCAAAACCCTGAGGTGAGGCAGGTCCAAGATAGGGGGAAAATGGGAAATTGCAAGGTGGGCATGAGGTGGGACAAAACTAATCACTCAATAAGATTACAAGTAAAATTGAGTAAACTGGGATCAAATGGGGAAGCGGGTCAGTAGCAAGTGGGCATGAATACAGAACAGGGGCTTTTCCTGTAGGGGGTTGGGCTAGTGACTCTTTCTGGCTTTTTGAAGGTGGTTGCTCCCTATTTAGAATATCAATCCTTGATGTTCACACCTAGGGAGGTATGTGGGTGCATTTGTTTAGTCCTTTTGTCTTGAGGTCTGGCCCACAGGTATCTTATCTTGTCTTTCATGTTGGCTCCTTCAAGGGCCTGGCCCTGTCTCACTGCCTATACTATTTCTAACTCAGCTGCCTATAAAGGTAGGATGGCTAATGTCCAGGCCTAGAAAATTAACTTTTGAGGGTATTTTTATCTTAATATTCCTTCTCACAGTTTAATTTTTCTAAAATTTTACTGTCAGTAAAAACTGTTATAAAATATTTAGACATAGCTTTAAAATAAATATTTGCTAACAGCATCTCTGCAACATCTTTTGTCTAACACTTTGGTTTACACATATTATTATAAAATACAGCAGAATAATAATCCTTTTATAATGTTGGCATCCTCATGAGTGAGACAGATGGTAAATAAAGTACATAGCAGTATGTAAATAATATAGTATGCTGAAAGTTAAATAAGTTATCTGACATCACAGTTATTATGTCTCACCCACTACCACAAATATCATTTAACAGGGCATTTACCTTAGATGCCTTTGAATCTACTCGGGTGAATAAGATGGCTCAGTTAAGTTTCTTCCTGTGTGTGAGTAACATGGAGAGAGCTGATTTGGATAGATTCAGTTGGGATTGGCTTCAGTTTGAAAATCTGGCCACCTTTGCTCTCTAATGTCATGTAGGGAATACACACATCTCAGGAATATATCCTTATGATGGTATTTCCAACAACCAGAGATAAGTCCCCATTTGAAAAAAAAAAAAAAAAAAGAAATCTTTTACTTTGATTCCACTTGCTACTATATAGTGATCAAAGCATATTTATGGCCTCAAATATGTACTTTTTCTGAAATATTTCTCATCTATCCAAGAGTAATGTCAAGGGCAGGTGGAGTGGAATTAGAATTATATAAATGTTAATTTAATCTACCACCATTTATAAATGTTTCCAAGAAACAAGACAAAGTGAATAGGATAGAAATGTAAGGCACTGGGAGTGGAAATATTGGAACTTTAAACCATAGGATCACAGCAAGGACTGTGAGAAGGATCAGTGCAGGAATTAAGTAAGCCACGTGCTAAAACCAGTACTCCAAGGTTGTTTGGCATAGTATTTGGAGAAAAGTATAAGACAGAAAGTTCACCAAATTTCTTAGATACTGAATAATAGTAGAATTTTTCTTTTTATGTGGGATGAAACTGTAGTGGTTTAGAGGAGAACTACATGAAGAACAGACTATTGGAAACTGTATCTACAATCTGTCTTGTACAGAGTGAAAGAAATGTTTAAATTGTGTAATTTGAATTTGCTTATTCAACACGCGGTTTCACAATCTTCAGCTCTCTAACCTCTATCCATTGTTTTGGATGATTCTCTCATTTCTGTGCATCAGTTCATTACGTTTATTTCTGGCTGACTTTATGATTGTAATTGCAGGAAAAACTTTTCCCTTCTAATTCAACTATGAACTTAGGAAAGCATTAAATTTATATTATAACAAATTTGTTCTTTCCATATAATTTAATTTATGGTACTTAATTCGGTGTTCTATAATTTTCTATGTTTACTTTTTGAATGTCATTATTTCCTTTACCTTTGGTTTTAAACACACATTTAAACATTTGGGATACTGCTGCACTCATGAACATACCTATGCATTTATTTTGGTGAATTTCGTTTGCATCATGATATTTTCTTTCCTAATATTTTTAAACTTCTTGTCATGCACAGTTTACCTAGCAACTTGTTCTTTCTTCTCTCCTTGGTTCCATCTTATTTCCCTCAGTATGTCCTGTTCAACTACGCTTATATTAACAATTTATAATTTCAGGCTCCAGGAGAGTTAATATTTTTTGTTCCTAAGACTGAGAAAACCATGAACATCTTCTTCCCTGTTTTCTTTTTAATTTACTATATTCTGGCTACACATGGACAGCATGGTGAACACATCCATTATGACATTATCAGGAAACCATGAGGAAAAAAAGTTCCATAAATTCTCTCAGTTTTGGAGGATACTATAGATTGTTTCTTACAGATCTGAAGACCTTATTTCCATTGACTGCCCCTGATTTTGGCATATTGATTTAACTGTAAGATCTTTAATCTACAAACTTTTTTAGGTTATTTGTTTCAGTTGTAGATGTGAAGATTATTATTTTAATTTTTTGAGCATTTTAAATAAAAATATTGAATATTCCTTTTTATAGAAAAGGTTTATATTTTTCACTGCATTAATTAACCTGAACCTAAAATCTTAGAATCCTGATACCAACCATTTTCTTTCTTGTAAAATAAGAGAGAATATATATTACAGTAAAATTTATCTGAGTATGATCATCTCTCCTTACAACATATTAACGGGTGTTTTAGGATAAAATTACATGTAAATAAATATATTGGAAGATGATAACAAAGATGTCTATTATAGAAAGCTTCCTTATTTTTAAATGATGATATCAAAGTATTGTCAGATAGATAATTTAAATAATCAAATTGAATAAAAGGAGCTTTTTAAATTATAAGTACTTGGATCCTCAGGGTGAAATCCTTAGTTTGCTATGTCTTGTCTTAAGTGTCTGTAAAATGGAAGTATCAGTTGCTTAATGCATTTCTGAACTAATATTAGTATCCCGTAGGGAATTTATGAAAATACCTTGACGTGCTTGTATTCATTGAAAATAAATTCAACACATTATAATTTTTATTCATTAGAAGTGCATATAACTCAAAGTTATAACAGCTTTTCCTTTTGAAAGGATTATTATAGGTATTCAAGTTTTTGTTTTTGAAGTAACTATTCTCAAGTATTTTGACATGAATCTAATATTCAGTATGAATGTGTATTCTTAGAATATGTAAACCAAAGTATTTTCACAATTTTATATAAACTTATTGAGTTCCATATTGGACTAAATGCAACTTTTATTGACCAAACTTAATGTGCAGTTTAATGGAAATTTGCAGAAGAAAATGTATATGCTTATTACCATTTTTAAAAAGTGTTTATTATGTATTATTATTCAAGCATTCTAAATCATCCTTTTCACCACAAAAAAACTAATAAAATATAATTATGTACAAAGTTTTTGTATTGAATATTCTATTTACACTTCATGTTCAAATCTTCAAGTATTTTTTCCTCCATAATTTAAAGAAAATGTGTACTGAATCTGATTACATCCGCCATTTACTTTCTTTGAAATTTGTCAGTGTTTGTCTTCTTTTATATATTGTACATAAAAAGGTACAGGTTAATCTAAAAAAATAGTTTATTGTCTAAAGTTGTATTTTGGCTTTTTATGTTTCTTGATAGCCATAATCTTTGTCATTTAAAGTAACTAAAGTAAAGTAACAGGGCTGGGGATTTAGCTCAGCGCCACAGTGCCTGCCTGGCAAGTGCAAGGTCGTGATTTTGATTCCCAGTACCGGAAAAAAAACAAAAAGAAAATAAAAGATAAAGAAAAAAAGAAAAAAAAGAAAGCCAACAAACTGAACCTCAGTCTGAGAATTATAAATTATAAAAAAAAACTAATAAAGATCAAAGTAAAAGAAATTGTACATTTAAAAATAAAAAGGATCAGTGAAGCAAAGAGTTGGTTGTTTGAACAGATTTAAAAAGTAACAAATCCTTATCTAAGGTAACAAAACAGAAAATAATCAAATAAATGAAATTAGAGATGAAAAAGAAAATATTATGACTGATACTACACTAATTCAAAGATCCGTTAAGTAATACTTTGAAAAATTATATGCCAATTACCTGGAAAATCTAGAAATAATGGAAGAATATTTAGGTGTAAATGATCTATGAAACTGAACCAAGAGGATATGAAAACATACATAAATCAAAAATAGTAAAAATTCTTGCAAAAGGTGGCTTCACTGTTAAATTTTATTAAATATTTAAATGAGAACCAATGCCAATGCTCCTCCAGGTATTCCATAAAATAGAAAGGAAAGGAACACTTCCAAAGTCACTCTATAAAGCCAGCATTACTCTTCTACCCAAACCTGACAAGGGCACAATAATATAGACAGAAAGTGCGAAAGCAAGCAAGCAAGCAAGCAAGCAAACAAGAAAGAAAGAAAGAAAGAAAGAAAGAAAGAAAGAAAGAAAAGGAAAGAAAGAAAAAAAAAGAGGAAAATGCACCTCAGCATCTGTGATGAAGATACATTCAAAATCATCAACAAAATACTTTCAAATTCAATTCAATTGTATATTAAAATCATGCATTGTGATAAATTTGTTTTAATTATAAGAATGCAACAAAAATCGATAAATATAATAATGCATGTAAATAAATTCAAACATAAAAATCACATGACCTTTTCAATAGGTGCACCAGAAACAGTTTATATTTTCCAGCATTCCTGTCGTGGTAAAACCCTGAAAAAGCTTAGGCGCGGAAGGAGCTTACCTCATTGTTAGGTAAATGGTGAAAACAAGTAAAGGACACAGCCAGCCTGTATTTGGGGGTTCCCAGCAGGACTGCGTTGAGTAACTCCAAAAAGAGTCCGAGTGCAGTTTATAGAGCTGGATCTTTAATGGATAGGACAAGGAGGCTAGTAGGATGGACTTAGAAGAGGTAACCCAAAGGGAGCAGTGTGAGACTGGGGCAGTAAGAATGGCTGATACGTGGCTCTAGCAATGGGCACTGTGACGTACTAAATGGGGCAGGTGTGTCAAGTTCTACCCATTGTTCCTGGGCTCAGGCAGGGGCCCAGAGTATATCAAGTGGCTGGAGATAAATGGGAGTGAGACTTATCACTCATCATAAAAAAGGCTGTATATGACAAACATGTAGCCAACATCATACTGAATGGGAGAAAACTGAAATCATTTCCTTTAAAATGAAAAATAAAGCCAGAGTATATTCTCTCAAACTTTCTATTTAATAGTGTACAGATATTTTAGCCAGAGCAATTAGGCAAGATAAAAAAAATATTAAAGGCTACAGAAGCAAGAAATGGGTAAGACAGGGGCTGGGGATTTAGCTCAGCGGCAAAGCACCTGCCTGGCAAGCGCAAGGTCGTGAGTTCAGTTCCCGGTACCGGAGAAAAACCAAAAAAAAAAAAAAAAACAAAAAAAAAAGGACTTTCTGTTAGGGGCTGGGGATTTAGCTCATCGGCAAAAGTGCCTGCCTGGCAAGTGCAAGGTCGTGAGTTCGGTTCCTGGTACCGGAGAAAAACCAAAAAAAAAAAAAAAAAAGAAATGGGTAAGACAAATTGTTTCTATTTGCATATAGTCATTTTTCCAACCACTGGGACAAAGTCCCCAACACTCACAGTTTAAGTAAGAGGTTTATCTTAGCTCAGAGTTTACAATGGGTTCAGTCCATGATGGCTAGCTGGCTCCAAAGCAGAAATGATAAGGTGCAAGAGCATGGTGGAGGTGACTGCTTACCTCATGGCACCCAGGAAGCAGAGGGAGAGAGGACAAGCTGGGGAAAAGAATACACATGTCAGGTTATGTCCCCAGGGACCCACCCCTTCCAGCCAGGTCTTAGTGCTGAAGACTGAAAGACTTTTAGATCTATATAAGAATGCACAACACACAACATTTTTAAGGATATCTTTCATCTAAATAATAATGCATATGAGATGACTTTATATATTGAAAAATCTAAAAACTTCACTGACAAATTATTAAAAATTTACAGCAAATTTAGTAAAAAAAAGACCAAAAGGATTCAAAATCAACATAAATATCAACATATAAATTAGTAGCTTTTCTGTATCTCCATACTGAATTTACTGAAAAAGAAACCAGGAAAATAACCCTACTCACAATAATGACAAAATAAATAAAGTACCTAGGAATAAACCTAAGGATGAGAAAGAGGTCTGTGATGAAAATTACAAAATGCCATTGAAACTGACTGCAATAAAAGGTTTGGAGATTTAATACTGAAGGATGGTTAGAGTTATCAACACCATCTACACATTCAGTACACTCCCCATGAAAATATCTTGGACTTCCTTTGGGAACCTGATGAAACAATTCTAAAATTCAAATGAAGAAGCTAAATAGCCAAAAGGCGTGATGAATAAAAAGGGCAAATTTGGAGGTATAACAATGCTTGATTTAAATACATAAACAGCAAGGCACTGGCATAAAACCAGAGGTATATACCAATGGAACAAAACAGAGGACCTCAAAATAAATTCCTGTATCTTCAGCCAACTGATTTTCAGCAAAAGTGCCAAAGATATACTTTGGAGGAAGAAAAGTCTCTTTTACATCTTGCTTTGGGAAAACTGAGTGTTTACATATACAAGATTTGAATTTAGCCCCTATTTCTCACCCTGCACAGAAATTAACCTCAAGTGGGTCAAAAACCTTAATGTAAGACATGAAACTCTGAAACAACTAGAGGAGAACTTAGGGGAAACACTTGAAGATATTGGCACCAATATGATTTCCTGAATAAAAGCCCGAAATCACAGGAAACAAAAGTAATAATTCACAAATAGCATTAAATCAAATTAAAAAGCACAGGAAATAACTGACAGAGTGTAAAGAAAGTCTACAGAATGAGAGAAAATTTTTGCTACCTATTCATCTGACAGAGGTTACTATCCAGTACATATAAAGAATTCAAAATATTAAAATAAAAACACATAATCCAATATAAGGGCAAATAATCTGAACAGCCACCTCTCAATAAAAGAAATATAAATGTTCAACATGAATATGGAAAAATATTCAGTATCTTTGGCCATCAGGGTAAGGCAAATCAATACGGCAATGAGAGTCTATCTCACCCCAGTTAGGATGGCTATAAACAAACAAAGAAAAATAATAAACTTTTGCAAAGATATAGAGCAAAAGTAAACTTTACTGTTGGTGATCATGGACATCAACATAACCACTGTGGAAAACTATGTGGAAGATCTTCAAAAAAGGATAAAAATAGAACAGTGAACTATGACATGGTCTAGTTACTTCACTTCTCTGTATATATTCAGAAGAAAGCAAGTCAGTTTACAAAAGTCAGTTTACTACATACTCAGGTTAATTAAGGCACCATTCACAATAGCCAAGATTTGAAATTAGTCTAAGTATCCATGGATTACAAAACCACTAAAAATTTAAATAAATGAGTAAAATAGAGAGAAAGTAGAAAACAAGAAGGTGGATTTTTTGGTGTTAGGAAAGTGATTGGGGCAGGGGAGGGAGCAGGGAGAAGGGAATAGAAGAGTAAAAAGTGATTGAGTTATGTTTTATGTATGTACCAATTGCTTAAGAAGAACAGCACTATTATGTATCACAAACATACACTATGAAAAGAAGTGGAAATAATACCACAGTATGTACAACAAAATACTGTGATTTTCAAGAAAATAAATGAAGTTGAGAATATCATGTAAAGAGAAATAAATCAGACACAGAGAAACAAATATTGCACTTATGGTTTCTCTCATCTATTGCAGAAAACAGTGAAAAGAAAAAGATGATCTAAAAGTAAAAGAGAGGACCATGAGGGGTTGAATGGGAAGGGACAGAGAGTGTTAACAGAAGGCAGGGCTGAGGGGGGTGGGCGTGATCATTGCACAAATACATAATTAACACATGTACAAAAATACCTCAGTGACTCTTGCCAGCTTATGCAATTAAGGCATGCAATTAATGTATATTATTATAATAAATTATAATAATAAAAAGAGAGTGGATTGTAAAAATCCCAGACAAGATGCTGTAAATTAGTTTAATAATCCTCATTAGAATTTGTATTTTAATGTAAGCCAAATATACAAGCACTGTTACTAAGCACATCTTAAAAGAAATAACACTTATGGTTATGTTGTGGAGATACTATAATAAAGAGACCTTTTCTGATCCTCACCATTTAGTGCCTCAGAGCTTGTGGTGGCCTCAACCAGAAGTATTTGAACAGCTTGCTTCTTCTACACAGTAAAAGAATAAAAAACAAACAAATGCCAAATAATATTACCAACTTATGCTGGAGTCCTGGTAGATGTTCTTCTAAAGGGATATTTGATCAGAATATCCTTCTATGTCTTTTTGTTAGAACATAGCAGATGATTCCTCCCTGAAATTATCTCTACTGGAATTTGAAAAGCTCATTATGTTACATGTCAATGAATTACAGCAACCATAAAACAAAATTAAATTCTCTATTTTCCCACTTCCAGGAAGATATATTACACATACATTTTCCTATTGCTCTTGCTCTATTTACTTAAAAATATTGAACAATTTTATGAACATAATTTTAATAAACTAATTATTCCAGTATATATTTTATTGAATTACAATAGATTGAAAATAACAATAATGTAGAGAGCTACCATATACCCTTTCCTAGCTTTCCCCAATAGCGATAGTTTGTAAAACTGCAGTACAATTAGGGTATTAATAACATCCACTGCTCAGATTCAGTTTTTTTACTAATGCACCTGTACTCACGTGTGTATGTGGTGCTCTTTACAAATGCATCACTGTTCCTCTCTCCACTCACTCTATGATTGCCTTTTCTCATTCAACCTAATTCCATGAAGGTTCATTCAAGTCACTGTATATATCAATAACATATTCTTTTTTGATGATTTGTAGTATTCTATATGTATGTATTACAGGTTTTAATCTTTCACTTACTGAAGTATGTATAGTTTTTCTAGCATGGCATTATTCAGAATAAAGCTACTATAATCACTTGTAAACATGCTTCACTTTGGATGAAATATCTAAGAGTACAATTACGGAGTCATATGGTAGTTTCATGTTTATTTTTAATGTAAAATGCCCAACTATTTTCCAGAGTGACTGTAGAATTTTATATTCTCACCAGCAGTGCATGAATACTTTTTCTTTCCATCTTTGCCAGTATGTGGTGATGTCCCTTTTTAAATTATTAATTTAGCTGCTCTGGTAGAAGGTTGGTGCAATTTCAATTTGCATTACCCTGTTGGCATTTATATTTTTAATTTACATCTATGAAATATTTTGAGTTAAATTTTACATTAATTGTGAATTTGGGGTTAGGTTTCTTCTTTTCCACTTCAGTATACTCAGTCATCCCATCACCACTTATTAAGAAAGCTATAGCCTGTCAACAGAATTGCATTTGTGTGTTGGTTGAAAATAAGTTGACTCTATTTCTAGGTTCTTTATTCCACAAGTATCTTTTCATGGTATTCAGAATTATACACAATGCCAGGGACAGTGAGAGGAATCAATCATAAGTTTTGTTTAAAGAATGCTCAAAGTGTTAGAGGGACAGAAGTTTTAGGCAGAACTGATAACACATGAGAGAGTTGAGCTTGAAATCCATGTCAATATATGCTTGGGACACAACAGAAGGAGAAGACGAATCTGTTTTAGAAGGGAGATATCCCGAAAGGATCTAAAGAGTGGATTTAAAATGAATGATGGGCTGGGGATTTTGCTCAGCAGCATAATGCTTGCCTGGCAAGTGCGATGTCCTGAGTTTGGTTCCTGATACCAGAAAAATAAATAAATAAAATAAAACAAAATGAATGATGTTTGGAATGGTCTAGGACATTAGAAAAACTGTACATAGTTCATTATGGCTAAGCATAGGGTCCAAGGAGACCTGATGAGAGATGCAGCTGAAATA